CCCCAAAACCCCAAAACCCCAAAACCCCTAAAGAATATTTAAACTATTTCAAATGGTATTAGAAATACTAATTCAATTAAGTGATATTTAACAAAATCATAGGAATTACTTACAATTTTGATCAATTGTACTCCTATTACCTCTAATACTATTTGCATGTATCATATGAATTACACAGGAAATCACATTTCTCTTAATAATCCATCAACTTTCAGATTTTTCTACGAATTTTTTATCCCATTCATTTCAAATTACTATTACTCTTTTTATAAAACTCCATCACTTTAATTTGTGTATTATCTTAACCCTTTACATTGCAAAGTCATTAAGAGTTATTTGAACTAGTTTATAACAATTAGGAGACATAATTGCTAAAAAAACGAAATCGATACTTGAAGGAACATGATTTATAGTTTTTGTTAGTTACCTTCACTTATATATGGAGTTGGATCACTAAAATAACTAAATGCTTAGATTATGTTTACAATCATTCCAAATAAGGCCAATATATTGATGACAAATTGCTATAATTTATATCTTCTTTTTTCATAATCCTAAGGTTTCTTATCATCACTATAATGATGCTTAACTTTCATTGACATCTAATAGAGAGCATATATGTTTGTAATTGAAGCTAAAGTAATTTGCAATGAGGTTGCAGAAGTCAATATTAAATCAGTTTAGTCTAAGGATTTGAAGCTATACATAAATATCATGAAATGTATGAGTGTCAAAGTTGAGAGTAAAGTCCCAGAACAATCAAAAACTCAAGAAAAAACATCATTGTTCTTAACCTTTCTTACATATTGAATCTAGATCAGAAATATTTGTTTATCTCTTATTGGCTTAGTCCTAGCAGAGCTCTAATGAAGTTATTATAATGGTTCCAATACTAAAAATAAAAATGATAAGTAACACCATTTTCTTACATCTCTTTTCCATTATCCTACAATTAAAGTTAGAGTTTTGATTCAGACTATCATTTTCTACCTCTGACATAATATATTTATATATAAATCATATTAAAAATTCAAATTGTTTTTAAATATTTCTTAATGGCATTTCATATCACTCGGGCAATCTAGTTTCCATGGGGTTTTGGGGTTTTGGGGTTTTGGG